ATGAAAAGATGCTCAAGGTCACTAATCATCAGAGAAATGCGAATTACAACCACAATGAGATATCACCTCACATCTGTCAGAATGGCTATCATCAATAAATCAAAAAACAACAAGTGTTAGTGAGGATATGGAGAAAAGGGAACCCTCATATATTGTTGATGGGATTGCAAATTGGTACAGCTGTTATGGAAAAGAGTATAAAGCTTTCTCGAAATATTTAAAATGGATATACCTTTGACCCAGCAATTGCGCTTCTGGGTATTTATCCAAAGAAAACCAAAACAATAATTTGTAATGATCTATACATCCCAATATTCATGGTGGCACAATTTACAATAGCCAAGATATGGAAGCAACCTAAATGTCCTTCAACAGATAATTGGATAAAGAAATTATGGTTCATATATACAATGGAATATTACTCAGCCATTAAAAAAATGAAATCCTACCTTTTGCAACGACATAGATGGACCTAGAGGTTACATGCTGAGTAAAATAAGTCAGACAGAAAACGAGAAATACCATATGATTTCACTTATATGCGGAATCTAAGGAACAAAAAGAACAAACTAATCAAAAACAGACTCACAAATACAGTGGACAATTTGGTGATAGACATAGGGTAAGGGGGTTTGGGGGGCTGGGAGAATGAGGTGAAGGGTCAAAGAAGTACAAATTAGTAGTTGATAGTTGGTCACAGGGATGCAGAGCATGGCAGAGGGAATGCAGTTAGCATTAATATGATGGCTAGGTGTTGGGCCTGGGGAGGGAGGGAGCAATTGGGAGGATCCTTTTATGAACTATATAGATGTCTAACCAATGCACTGTATACTTGAAACTAATTTAAATAAATAAATTTTTAGAAAAAAGAGCGGATGGTGGCTATCAAGAGCTGAGGAACAAGGAAATGAAGAGGTACTAATCAACAGGCGTAAAGTTTCAGTTAAGCAAGATGAATAAGTTGTAGAGATCTGCTGTACAACATCATACCTGTATGTTATATTGTATGCTTAAATATTTGTTAAGGGAGTAGATCTCATGTTAAGTATTCTTACCACAATAAAATATTTTTTAAAAAGGAAGAGGATTTAAATGTTTAAAAGAAATCAAATAGTAAAAGTTTAACTTAAAATATTCACAAATTCTACATGTCAAAAATCATAAATTACAAAATAGTCTGATTTTGGTGTGGGTATAGAAAAGTAGAACTATGAGAACAGATGTTATTGTCCAGAAACAGACCCCAAATGTACATACAAATTAATAAATGATTAAGGTGGCATTTTTAATGAGTGAGGAAAGAATAGATTAATGGGAAATCAATGAAGTTTGACCCATAAATCACATCATATGTGTAAATAAATCCAATTGGATTAAACATATAAGTTTATAGAAGTTCTGGGTCCAAAAATACATAGTAGATAAAGCTACATACTATATTATATATAATTATAGTAATACATTATAGTATAATACACCTATACATCAGAATAGAGAGTACAGAAATAGACCCATATATTCAATAGGAAAAGGATAATATTATCAGCAATGGTGCTGGGACAATTGCATAGCCCTAAGTGAAAAAAAATGACTTGATTCTTACCTCACATTATCTAAAAATTAACTCGAAAACTAAATATAGATTTAAATGAAAGATATAAAACTTTCCCTATAAATTTCCTTCTGAAAAACATAAATATATATGACTATTGTCATAAATATGTATGACAATAGTTTCTTAACTATGACACAAAAAGTCTCAAAATATAAAACTTACAAATTAGTAAATTGGATTTCATCAAAATAAAAAATAATCATTAAAATATACTGTTATGGAAATGAAAAGGCGAGCCACAGACTGAGAAAATATTTGCAAAGCATATATCCGACAAAGTTCTTGTATCTAGAATAAATAAAGGCAACAGAATTCAATAATAAGGAGAATAAAAACCTAATAAAACATGGGGAAAATATTTAAACAGACACTTCTCTAAGGAAGATATGTGGGTGGCAAATATTACATGTAAAGATGATCAGTATATTTCATCACCAGAAAAATGCATATTAAAATTACAATGAAATGCCACTACACACTGACTAAAATGGCCAAAACAAAAGCAAATGAACAAACAAAAAACCCTAGTCAAGTGTTAGTAAAGATATGGAGAGAAATGAACTATCATATATTGCTGGTGGGAATACAAAATGGCACAGCTATTTGGAAAACAGTTCGGCAGTTTCTTAATAAGTAGAATATGCACCTACCCTGTGACTCAGTCATTCCACACCTAGGTGTTTACCAAAGAGTAACGAAAGCATTTATCCCCTCAAAGACTTGTACACAAATAATCAATGGCAGCTTTATTTGTAATAGCTAGTATCTGGAAGCAATCAAAATGTCCATTAAGAGGTGGTTGAATAAACAGATTATTATATATCTGTAAAAAAAGAATAGTGGCAATAAAAAGAAATGAACTATTAATACACACAATCACATGAATGAATCTCAAAATAATTACCCTGGATGAAAGAAGACAGGCAGGGTCATATGGTAATTCTATTCTTAATTTTTTGAGGAAACTTCACACTGTTTTCCGATTTGCATTCCATCATCCCAATAAGTTTAATAATAATTTAAAAGGCAGAAAAGGATTCATAGTGTATGACTTTATTTCTAGAATATTCTAGAAAATGCAAACAAAGCTATAGAGACAAATAGCAGATCAGGGTTGCTTGGGTATCATGCAGCTGAGGGGAGAGAAAGGATGATTACCAAAGGGGCATGATGAACTTTTTGAGGGTGAAGGATGTATGCATTATGTTGATTCTGGTTATGGTTTCACAAGTGCATCATTTGTCAAACTTATCGAATTGTACACTCTGATGGATTTCCATGTACTACAATTATATCTCGCTAATTTTTAAAAAGGAAAATTAAAACTCCTTGTAAAGAATAAAATCTCCAGGGCCTTATGGCTTCCAGTCACATTCCACCAGGCTACTCAGAAAAAATTTTAACAACACAAAATCATCTTTGAATGCCTGCCTCAAACTCATTCAGAAAACAACTATTTTTAGCATGATACCTGCCTTGCACTCTTTTAGTTAATGCATTTACTTACATATAAAATAACTTCTTCGCATAAATTAGAATCATTACTGACAATGTACTATAATGTTCCTTTTTTTACTCAAAAATATCTTTAGCAAGACAGAATCTGCTGCACAGCATTAAATCATACGAATATATTTCACTTTCTGATGCTCTATTGCTGGACTCAAGTGGAGTCTTAAAGACATTTTTGAGCACTGATTTCTTTTTCTTTCTTTTCTTTAATTCCCCCGCCCCCCACTTCCACTCCTGACCTACAGATGTTGCCGACTCTCCTTAAGCACTGGATCTCTGAAGGCGGGGCGTCTGCTTCTAGGAGCTCACAGGCACACCCCCAGGGCCTGGCACACCCAGGGCCTGGCACACCGAGGGCCTGGCACACTCAGGGTATGGGCCGTGGCCCTCTGGGGCTCGAACCCAGGACCTTCTGCATATAAAGCAGACATGCTAACCACTACTCTATGGAACCACCCCACTGACTTATTTCTTTAAAAAATACTTTATAATTTGCCAGATAATTACCTTTTCATTCAACAAACAATTGCTTAGGTACGTCTTTATACCCGGAACTAATATACAAAAAGTAATACTATGTAGTCAGGGTGCAAAAAAATACATTGTATTTTAGGGGGAGAAGTATGTAGGCAAACAGACTATCACAATGCAGTAAAATAAATCCTGACAGAACCAACACAGGAGACTGTGGGAAATAGGAGTACCCAGCCTTGGAGAAATCATCATAAATCCTTCTTGTGTCTTTCTCTCCAAATTGCCAAACCCTTCAGAAGGGTGTGCACCTTCTCTTCTAAGTCTTTCTCTTTCCCCCAAGGCATGCCTAGAACAGGGCTCTTGAATAGTGATGCCTCAATTAGAACTGCTAGCCAATGGACTGAAGTTATGTTTGGCACAGTATCCTATATCATTCTGGTCCACTGGCTGAGCCCAACCCCTCCCAGGGAGGACAATAAAGACCTGAGTTCAGAGTCACACTGAATAGAGAGTTCTGGACTCCACAGAACCTACTGCCTGTCTACTGTCTTTCAGGAGCCATGAAGTCCCTACTACTCACTCTTGCAACATTTTTGCTCCTAGCCCAGTTGGTCTCAGGTAAATAGAATCTTGGGGAAGGAGAAACACCGACCTACAACAGGGTCCTGCATATGGAGTCCCTATTACCAAACTGGCCATGGGAGTGGGGCATGGCTCTCACTGGGTGGGGGGCTCATGTTCACATCACTTCTTCAAAACACCTCTACTATAAGTGACCTCAAGCCTGTCATAGTTGAGCAGTGTCTATGATTGGAGGTGAGAAAGGATAATGAGAAGCCAAGGACGGAGATGATCCTGACATCCCAAACTTCCCTCTATCCTATTACTCTGGGCCAGTTCCAATCACTTTGTATGGTACTAGGTACTACCTCCTGAAGGAACAATTCTATAACAGAGCTTCTCCCAATTTCCTTGGTCTTATAGAGAAGGTCTCCCATTTTTTTATTCTTGGATATGATTGACAGAGAAAGCTATTTCTAAATATCTATAAAACTGTAAGGTAAAAAAGGGAAGAAAAATATTCAGAGTGAACAAGAGGAAAAGATTCAAGACTCTAGGAAGTTCTATGTCAGATTTCAGCTCTACTTGTGTAAGTGTTCCTTCTTTTTAATTAATTCTTTAGTTTATATTTACAGAATTAAGACAGGAACACTGAAAGCATTTTAAAAATAAAGAAATTGGCCACCATTTCATCACTGCTTACATTTTTTAAATTGTGCCTAACGGACGTACAAATTTATAATCTTCCCTTTTTTAACTTAAGATTATATCAGGAAATTTTTCACAGGTCTTTAAATTTTCCTTGAAAATACAATTTGCAATCGGTATTTATTATTTTGTAATATTAACTTGGAGAGTCCCTTAGTGTATGTCATTTGGATTATTTTTTCCACTGCGTCACTATTATCAATAACATTGTACAACCTACTAATATATTATCGTAAGATTCTCTGTTTATATAGGTAAATTTTAGAAGTTTCATTGCTTGGTCAAAAGGTAATAAAAGAAACTAGCATATATTGCAAAATGTTATTATTAGTGTGTTATTATTTTTAAACTTTCTATTTCATTTAAACTTTCCTTTTTTTTGCAAATGTTTTCTAATATATTGGTTACTTCTAAAATTTTTTCTCCCTCTTTATTTCCCCCCGTCCCCCACTTCCACCCCTGACCTATGGTTGTTGCCGTTTCTCTTTTTAAGAACTGGATCTCTGAAGGCGGGGCATCGTCTCCCACATGCTTACAGCGTGCACCTGGGGCCTGGCATCCTCGGGGCCTAGCACCCCCGGCGCACTAGGGGTGTGGGGGCCTGGTGCACCCAGGGTATGGTCTGTGGCTCCACTGGGGCGCGAACCTAGGACCTCCTGCGTGTAAAGCAGACGTGCTAACCGTTGCACTATGGAACCACCCTTAAAATTGTTTATTGATTTATTTGAGGCACAAAATTTTCATTTTCATGTTGTCAGATTTATTGGTATTTCCTTTGCATTTTCCATTAGCTTAGAAAGTTCTTCACCATATTGAGAACAGTTTATTCACCATGCTTAGTTTTTTTTAATTCTATTTTTATATTGTACTCAACCCATATTTTATATATGACGCAAAGTAAGAAATAAACTTTTTTGAGGTAGAATTTCCTAACGGAGAATTGTGTAACTTTGTACCTGCCTCTAGAGATAACATTTATTGTTCTCTAATTTGCAGAACTGTTCAGATTGATGGTGGAAAAGAAGAAATTAATAACAGTATGAGGGTCGCCTCAGAAGATATTTCAGATCTATTGCATTCTTGAAATTCTATGAGTTTAGATGAAATAATTTTTCCCTTTGCCTCTGGGACATTGCTGACATGCATCACATTTATTCTCAGGTGTCCCCTTTCTAAACCATATGGCCTGAGAAAACTTCTCAGTTCTCTTTCTAGACAAACACAAATAATTCAAGATTATTCTGTAAGATTATCTAAGTCTAACCCAAGATCTAGAGGCATTAGAAATGCCACCCTTAAAAGGACATTTGAAAGGAAGAATAAACAAAAACATCAGGGCCCACAGAAGATCAGAGGAAAAGGAAGGAAACTTGATCTGAGGTTTTCATCTACATATCACAGCTGAAGAAAGCTGAAGAAAACCATGTGAATGTTATCTCCATGGAGATGTTTAGGATAGTGAGAAGGAAAAGGATTGTGGAGGGTGTGGCTACAGAGAAAGTAGAAGGCCAAGGAGCATTATGGAGAGCCCTTGCAGATACAAAAGAAGAAAATGAGACAACAGAGTAAGAAAAATCATGAAAACAAAGAAATCAAGCAATCTTTCTGTTCCCCAAAATATCAGGTTCTTCCCCTGCTCTTGGCTTTTGCATATACTATTCCTTTTCTGAACACTCTTCTAAATTTTCACATAGCTGGATCCTTTTCATCCTTTATGTCTAGGATTGAATGTCATTTCCTGAGAGATAAATTCCTCAGTGACCCCATGCAGAATTCTGGTTTTAGGAATGAGAGGCCTGTTTATGTATATAAATGTATGTACATAAATATTATGTATGTAAAATTTCATTTAGTCCTCAGAGGAGGATTAAACAGTTGATAAGGGATCATAGTAGTGGTAACAGAACTCAAAAATGATTGCTTTGTTCACTTACTCTCTGCTACATCACATTATTTTTTAACTTGTTGTGCTTATCATAACCTGTAGTTATCTTATTTATTCATTTCCTTGTTTATTTTCTCTGACCCTCTCCCCAAAATAAGCTTCTCAGACCCTGTCTTTCTATTTATTGTTTATTCTCATCATCTTACAGACTTCTTGACATAGTGGGCACACATTATATATTAGTTAGTTGAATAGAAGAATAAGTTAAGCAACATAGAACAAGATAAGAAAGAGTTCCAGTATCTGTTCAGGGCCTTCTATGTGTTATACCATGTGATGAGAGCATTTTTTATATATATTTATATAATATGTACACATATACAGCCACATCCTGCAGAATATCTCCTTAATGAATATATTTCTAGTAGAATGGCTTTTGATTTTTTATTTCTAAAGTTTTGTAGAATGTATTTATATCGCAATATTATATAGGTATAGCTTTATATACATCTACATATAGATATATGAAAAAATTATATCTATATTTAACATGACAATATATAAGACAAATCTATATTACATTTCAAATACAATTTGTAGGACCTCAGAAACATGTAAAGACATTTTGAAAATCTCACCAAGCATCAACAAAAGCCATGTGTGTTTGGGTAATAGTGAGACACATTACACCAATGATCGTTGAGCATTTCATATTTTAAAATGATAGTATTTTTACTTCTATTTAGGTGTTAATGTGTGTTTTGGTTACGTTTTTTGAAATTGGTTATGGGTTTTATATTCATAAGTAATAATGTGTTATATATTTTCCCACTTAAAATGGGAAATAGACAACTGATGTATGTTTATATGTAGAATTTTGGTTTCAGAAAGGCTCACACATATCTAAAATTTTTATGTGTATATATTTATAAAATCTAATTTAATCCTCAGAGTAGGTCTTTATGATCAGGAAAGTATAACAAAGGCAAGAGACTTGAATAATCAATGTTCGAAAAATTATTATTTTTATCCTTTTGTGACAGCTCTCTGGTCTAAGTGATCTAAATAATTCCTTTACGCAGGTAGTTGGTATGTGAAAAAGTGTGCAAACAGAATGGGAAATTGCAGGAGCAAGTGCAGAACTGGAGAGATACGGATACAACCTCCTACTGGGATGTGCAGCAAGGAAAAACTGTGCTGTATTCTGTCTGGCAAAGATTTGAATCCTCTTATCTGTGCAGACAACGTAAAAACCACAACCACAGCACAAGGTGCAGTAACTAAAAATGTGGCGCCTACCGAGAATATGGCGTCTATGGCGACTATGGCGACTATGGCGTCTATGGGGTCTATGGCGTCTATGGCGAGTATGTCAACTACCGTGGCTGCAGTGAATACGAACTCGCGGGCCCCGTCGGTGATTACTACTGCTGGTGCTGTTGTTTGAGCATTCCAGCTTCTATCTCCTGTCATGAGATCCCTGGTTCATTAAAGCAAAGGGCCTTATTTTGGTGTCAGTCTGCTCACTACTCCCCACTCTTTCTCCACACAATAGTGTTTGGAAAGTCATCACATCTCCATAGAACCCATGGTTCCGGGGTAGGCCACGCACAGGTGAGAGTTAGTCCAAAACACCCATTAAGGACAGATGGACAGAAACGGTATCATTCTTGAAGACAGTTTCCAGCCCACAGGCCCACACTCTGACTGTAACAGTCATTATCAAAATTTAAAGTGCATCAGAAACTGGAGGGACTGCTAAAACACAGACTTTGAGCCTCATCTCCAGTTTCTGATTTTGTGGGAGAGCCTGAGAATTGCATTGTTCACAGTTCCAGGTGATGCCAGTGTTTCTTGTCCAGGGGCCACACTTTGAGAACCTCAGGCCTATAGTATGAATGATTGAAGGCCTCTTTCTACAGACTGAAGTCATTTCCTATGTATTTTTGAAGTGGTTAGTGATATAAAAGCACTTCTACAGAGTAGAGTCATTTTCTCATTAGATTTCCTATAACAACCTCAGAACATAGGTATTATGACCTCATTTCACGGAATAAGAAACTTAATGTGTATTAGAACTAAAACAAATTTAAATGACTACTGAGAGCATTCTGTTACTATACTTCGATGTCTAATTTTCTCCTCTCCCTGGAAATTCTCAATCACAGAATCCAACTTAGATAGGATGGGAGATCAAGATCTCTATGGTGTGACCCAAAGACTGGGATAGACTCTTACCTTACTTAAGATTTTTCCCTTAAGAGTTCTTCCTGCACCAATAAGAGAATATGGTGCATCATAGTCATCCATCTATGCCTCAGGCCCATTTCCTTGATACTTGGACAGGAAGAATAGGAAACATAGTTGCCTTCACTTTCTGGACACCTATAATGGCCATATTTGTCTTTGTCAGTGTCAGTTTGCCCACTTATGAAAAAATAAGATTGGAATGAATGTCTTTCTCCTCGTCCTTGTCATGCTGATGTCCTTCTGATTCTAAAACTATAGACTTAGATTATGCCTTGTTGGGTCAACTTCACTTTTGATCTGATTAGGGGCCAAAGATTTAGTGGTGAGACCTAAAAGTGAGAGAAAACATTGGTGGAAGGGTTATCACCACTATAAAACAGGTCCATGAGTGCCATCACAGAATCCTTTTCCTTCTTCTCTTGATCCCACATCTAGCTACTAATAGATCTATGTGCATCTACCACCATGACTTCTATTTCCATTGCTAATGTAAAGATTCAGCTCTTAAGACTTGCCCTGGGATTATTGTAATAGCCTTCTCATTAATCATTCTGCATTTCTTTCACACATATATTCATCCATCCTCTACACTGATAGCCAGAGCCATTTTTCTGACACAAATCTAATAATTAAACTCTCCTCTGGCATTGTGTCACAGTATCCTAGCCAACATTTCAGTTCAACCTTTGTTGTTCTTCATGTTCGGACTTTAGATTACATTTCCAGTTTTACTTCCTGTCATTCGCCCATAGGACATCCTGTGCTCCTGCTACACACACTTACGTATGATTGATTTGAACTTACTAGATTGTTTCTGGATTTGAGTTTTTATACTTACTCTTCTCTCTCCACCTAACCCTGCCTAGAAAAATCCTTATCTTCCAGAGAGCATTGATAACCACACTGTTTCACACAAAACAGAACTACCACAACCTCTTGTTCTCTATTATTTTGGTTTATCCAGAATTTGTCATCATGTTACATCATGTTCTATGCATCTGTTTGTGTGTCTTCTCCTCTAATGAACTTTGAAATTTTATTCAAGGAAAAGAACTTTTTCTATTTCTCTTTCTCCTATCATCACCTAACTGGATTCTATATTAATAGTTGTTGAATAAATAAAAAGGGGTTCTTGAAGCCCTGGAAGATTTTTAAATGTTAGTGAAATCCCACCTTCATTTATTCTAGATCTGTTCCAGGAGACAGGCCTCTGCTTCCTTCAAGAAACACATCTATAATCATCGTCATTGTCTAGTACAAGAGATTTGAGGGTGAGTAGACAAAATTAGTAGGACATTGTTGTCTTTTATACTCATGGCTATCATGTAGGTATAACTCATGAACTCTCACAAGAAGATGAGAGCATAGAGGTGGGCCACTTCAGCAGAGGAGAAGAGTAGAAAAAGTCATGAACTTGAGAATCAGACATATATGAGGTCATTCAGGATCCCACCATGCATTCAGCCTTAGATTGTGGACAATTAGTTTCCCATCTTTGAGCCTAAGTTTCTGAACTGGAAGAATAAAGAAAGTATTTACTCCCACTCAGGCTACTTGGAGGGTTGCTAGAATAGTATGTTCAAATTTACTCACATCATAGGGTCTTAGCCAGCATGTTGCTGATTCTTGGATAAAGAGCAGGAAGGCACATTTCCTGAGGGCCCTGTCTTCTGGACCATGGCTGCTCTGCAAGGGTCTGGATGATTATAAGCCATATTTCACCTGGGGGAAAGCTCATTGCTCTGTGGGGAAGAGTGTGACAGAGGTTAGGGTGATAGGATCTCTTTGAGCAGTCAGATGGAGTTATAAAGGCTCCTGGTAGAACTCACTGTGCTTTCTTCTCAGCAATCACCCTAATCACTACCTTGAAAAATATCTTAGAGCTATGAGCACTGTAATTACAAATAAGGAATATAATCTTAGTGCTGCAGCCTGAAACTTTACCCTCTTGTCTTCTTTCTTTACCTCTATTCCTTCTTCCTCCCATGCTTGAATTTAGGGGAAAAATAACCTTTCCCTGTTGGATTTGGGGAAGAAAGGGGCCTTCACTGGTTGAGAACCCACAATGGGTCAAGCACGCTGATGGCCAATCTCACTCAACAAAAGCATTATGTAATAATTACAATAACATGATTAAAGCTACATCTAGGTTTCTCCTCACCTCTATCTCAATTTTCCAGTTGGTAATACAGGTATAATCATACATCTACCTCCTAAAATCACTCTAAAAATTATAATAGGTAAGGCATACAGAATATCACAGTCTCTGGAACCCATGAAACTCTGAGACATATAGGCTTAGTGAGGTATAAATTATTTCCACTTAAAATATGAAAAATCTAAGCTTCATGGAGGAAGAGGATCTTGCACAATTACTTGTCAAAAGCAGTTCTGCCTGCTTCCAAGGCCACAACATCTCTAACCCATCTCATGCTCATACTGAAAATATCCTCAAAGCTGAATTCTACCTCTTTAGCATGTCATTTGCATAACCATATAGTTCTCAAGAATGAGCTCTACAAACCATGCAGAATAATCTGGATTTCAAAAGGAGAAGAGAAGGAGACGGAGACAGAAAGTTTGTTTAAAACATAGCTGAGAACTTCCATAACCATGAACTTAGACATTCAAGTTCATGAAGCTAACAGATCACGCTATCATCTCCATGGAAAAAGACCTTCTTAAAAATACATTGTAGTGAAACTTTCAAAAATTGTATATATAGAAAAGAATCCTAAAGGCAGCCAAGATAAAAACAAGTATAAGTTACAAAGAAATCCCCATTAGGCTATTAGCAGATTTCTCAGCAGAAACCCTTACAGACTAGGAGTCGGTGGAATGACATAGTAAATGTTGAAATATAAAAATTGCAAGCCAAGAATACTCTATTCAGCAAAGTTATTCTTCAGATATGAAGGAGAAATACTTTCCCACAGAAACAAAAGCTGAGGGAGTTCATCCATCACTACTAGACCTGCCTTGCAAGAAATGCTAATAGGTGTTCTTGGAGCTGAAATGAAAAGACACTAATCAATAACATGAAAACATATGAAAGCATAAAAAATACAAAGTCAGGTTTAGAAAACTCTAATTCTATAATAGGATGGTTAATTAACCATTTAACTATAGTATATGGTTAAAGAAAAATAGTATTTAAAAAATTTATAGCTACTATAATTTGTTAATGAATACACAACATAAAAGAGGTAAATTGTGACATTAAAAATATAAAAGAGAGAAGAAAAAGGGTAGAGTCTTTATAAGTGAACAAAGATAAGTTGCTATCAGCATAAAATGGTCTGTTTTGTCTATGAAATGTTTTAGGTAAGCCTCATGGTAACCACAAAGCAAAAATCTAAGGCAGAGTCACAAAAGATTTTTTTTAAAGGGAAACAGAGAACATACCACCTCAGAAAATCACCAATTTATAATGACAGAAGCAGAGGAAAAAAGAAACAATGGAAATACAAAATAACCAGAAAGCAATCAATAAAATGGCAGTAGTAAGTCTTTACATTACAATAACTACTCTAAATGTAAATGGATTGAATTCATCAAAGGCACAGAGTGGCTGGCTGGATTAAAAAAAAAAAACACAGAATTGCTGGAGATTTGGGGGTTAGGGACACATTGTAAGAATACAAACTTACTAGTGCAACTAGTAGATAAACAAACCCTGGAGATCTAATGCATAGTATTGTGATTATAGACAACAATATTGTATTATAGACATTAAACTTGCTAAGAGACTACATCTTAATTATTCCTGCCACAAAAAGGGAATAATAATTATGTGATGTGATAGAGGTGCTAGCTAGTGTTACAATGGCAATCATATTACAATATATAAATGTATAAATCAACATGTATGCTTCAAACTTACACAATGTTACATGTCAAACATACTTCAATTTTAAAAAGTTAAAGATAAACCATCCATTTAGAAAAAATCAAAAGACACGAAGAGATTTTTCACCAGAGAGGATATTCAGATGGTAAATAATCATATGAAAACATATTTAACATTATTAGCAAATAGGGAAATGCAAATTAAGATCACTATAAGATATCATAACACACCTATCAAAACAGTAAAAATGAAATATAGTGACAACCTGGAATACTGGCAAGGATGAGGAAAAACTGGATCTTTCATATATTGCTGGTGGCAATGTAAAATGCTACAGCCATTCTGGA